CGCGCAAAATTCCAGTTTGCGAGCGCAAATTACTGCATGCAAAATTGGATCTTGATAAATCCGGCCCTAAGACTCTTACTGCATGATTATTCTGCTTGTGTCCCTGAAAATTCACCCAATAATTCAACATTACTTGCTTTTGTCTTAAATATAAAGGAATCTCCCCCATTTCTAGCTGGACTGCCAAAGATGGAGACGTCTTCATGGCTTCACAACATAGTCTCACAGCTTTATTATGAATTATCTCTCTTTTACTAATCACTGTTTTTGCAGCCTGTCTATAAACTACACATCCGTAATCCAACACCGATCTAATTAAGCCAACATAAATCTTTTTTTTATTTATCATTTAACTTTTTATTAGTATTTTTTACTTTTTTTTTTTTTTTTTTTTTTTACATATACAGTGCAGATGAACATTTCACATTAAACTTAATATAACATAACACTTTCACTTGGGAGCTATTCCTCTATTTGACCTTTGTCCCGGCTAGCTTATCTAGTTCTTTATCTTTGCCGCTGTCTTTTGTCCTGAATGTTGTCCATTTCTTCCACTTTTCTTCTATTTGAGTTTGTTGAAGACTTAGACGATGTGTCAGTTTTTCCATGGTGTAGATTTCTTCTATTATTCCAGTCTATTGTTCTTGACAAGGGGGGTCTGCCTGTCCCCATTTCCTCATAATTGCTTTTTTGGTAGCTATTAACACTATCTTAATTAGATACATGTCTATTACCCTTGCGTTGATGTTGTTCTAATTGCAAAGATATATGACCACACTACTCATAGGAATATATCCCAGAATCTTCTTTACAGGTTCATGTACATTTTTCCAAAAGTGAACAATATAGGACAGTTCCAAAATATGTGAGAGTGGTCGGCTTTCATTGATCCACAATTCCGCCAACACCCCATGTTAATATTATATTTATTCTTGACTTTAGGCGTGATGAAACATCGAATTAGATTTTTCCATGTGAACTCCCTCCATATCCATGAATTGGTGGATGTCTGATGTGTTTTCCACATTTCTAACCAATTTTCATCTGAAATTGTCGTGTTGAGCTCTGATTCCCACTTTTCTTTTATATACTTAGTAGAATGTTTATTCATCATCAGTTTTTGATATAGAGCAGAAATTATTTTAATTTTTGTTCTACTGAATGATAAAAAAATACATGAGTCAATTAGTTGTATAAAATAGGCGATAGTTATTTTCAATCTTAGCAGGTAAATAGAACATCTACAGAATCAAGAACAAAACTATTAGAATTAGT